TGTGGCGGGGGGAGCCGCTGTCCGTGGTGCTGAAGCGCAGTGCGGCTGCTGTCAGACGGGGCTTGTTCGCAAACGTCAGACCCGACGACAACCGGAATGAGGAAAGAAAAGAAAAGAAAAGAACAAAAACAAACCCCTGGCAAAGTTCGATCTTCCCGTTCCCGTGGGAACTCTGAATCTGCCTCTCTTAGCAGTCACGTCCGGTTTTTAATGCCAGCTGGCATACAGAAAGCCCCTTTAACTAACTCAAAATTGACCAGTGGATAAGGAATTTTCCTAGAAGACTGAAAATTCGGCTAAAACCACAAGGATGAACTGTCAGCTCGTGTTTTCTTCCTGTCATCAATTTTTCTAAGAATTGGGCTATTCGAACATAAACAGAGAGAGGAGGAATGGGAAGCACCTCACCCAAGCTTTCTTGCACAAAGGGTGGTTCTCTCCCCTCTGCTCTCATAAGACCCCACCTGAATGAAGTACTGTGTTCAGCTCTGGAGCCCCCAGCGTAAGGGTATGATCTGCTGAAGCAGGTCCAAAGGAGAGCCACGAGGATGATCAAGAGGCTGGAACACCTCCCATATGAGGAAAGGCTGAGAGAGTTGGGGTTGTTCAGCCTGAGGCTTTGAGCAACCTGATCTAGTGGAAGGTGTCCCTGCCCATAGCTGACTGATTAGAACTAGGTGATCTAGAACTAGATCTCTTCCAACCCAAACCATTCTATGATTCTATGAAAAGCACTGCCAGACATCTGTATCGCATGTCTGGTGGCTATGAATGCTGAGCACCTTCAGGTACCTCTCCTGATTCACAAGAGTCATCGCTTCTTGAAAAGTACAGCTTAATTCATTTCTCTGTCCTCAGCATACCCTATAAGCACATCCCCTCCTGGTATGTTGCAAATCTCATTTGTGAGTGCTTAAATGGTGCGTGAAAAAACCGTTTCCGTGAACATTCATTCTCTTACTACCTACTCCAAACTCTGATGTGAAAACAATGTAACTCTTAGAGGCAAGCAACTGCGTCAAGAGGCAGGACTTTATGAAACAGTGCTGATCTGAAAATGGGAAGCTGGGAGTACATACCCTAACTTTCTTCAAACATTGGGTACAGGCATATGGGAGCCCACCTTTGAGTTGCACGTGCCACTGTGTGATGATGTGCCTAAAATCAGGCAGCGAATCACTGTGTAAATATCCCAGGTGTATGAATTTCATCTTTAGGACAGAACATTCTCTTTCTTGTATTGTCAATTTTTTTTTTTGTAAAAGGAAGATAAAAATGTGGGAACTTCAGAATATAATTATAGTAGACCTACAGATTGTGGCATAGGAAAAACAAAATGAAAATGAGAGAGAATGCCAGTACTAATCGTATTAAATGATAACTTCTCCAATACTGCTTGAAAAGACAGCAGTACCTGTTGAATTTACTGCAATTTTTCCTCCAGAAGTCTTGAGGACAGACACAGCCTACAGCAAGTCAGATATTTATCCAAATGAAGACAGGTCAAACAATGGACTTGAGCCACAGGAGAGAACATAAACATTAAATTCTAAGGGTCATGGGCTGATTACAGGAAGATGGAGCTTTCCAAGACAAGAAACTAGGTTTCAGAATGGTTTAAGTCCATGCTAGGACAAGGGGATCAGGTAATATGGATTAGGGGTTCTTTTTCAACACAAGCAGTTTGTATATCTCTACATCCATTATTTTCCTCTAGAAATAAAGAAGATAATTAATTAAGTTGAAATCTCCTGGCCTTAGGTGATTCTCTTATATGTCTACATATTCCTTAAACAGACAAGCACTCACATAGCAGAGAAGACAACCTGGAATTCAGGAATCAAACAAAGCTGGATGCCAGCCCCATGTTTGTGCTTGCCTGTGCCTCTGTTTTTGATTCTACCCCATTTTTTATTGTTTGGCCTCTTTTTTCAGCTCCGCAGAAAACATCATGCAGGGACAAAGCAATGAGATGGCACTAAAACCTCTTCAGCTTCAAAAGTATGAAGACCCTTCAAGATTAAAAGCACTGATTTCAGTTGTTCTGCATTCCATGATGCTTTTTCAGTTTTCCAGCATTTCATTGTAAGAAGCTGAATAGAAATTGCTTCTGAAAACACGCAAGAAGACAAGATGCCTACAACAGGGACAAAAGCTGTCCCCTGAGCTTTGTTTCACTGGGAAAAATAACATTGAAATAGACCTTTGTGACGTGATGTTTAACTCATCAAGGCTTCTCCTCTTTAAGTGATGAAGTTTCATTTAACAACATTCTCTTAAGTTGAAGTAACTAGTTTTCTGTATTCTGAGGTAAGTATGACCTGCTGACAGTCAATCCACAACAACATTTAGTAGTTATTTGTAGGTAGTTACTTGTTTCCTACCACTCCCCTCAGTTTGATCACAGTGACTATAAAACCTTAGGAATTTTGGCAGTTACAGAATCCTTGTCATCAGGTTGCTGATCCGTGACTTACATGATGTCTAGAGTTAGAACCAGGAGCCACTGCTTGCTGAGAATAAGCTCCTTTGGTCATGGGTCTACTGTTCACACAGGACTCTAAATGTAAGTAAATCAGGATTCTAGCACTCCTTGCCTCCACTCAAACCACCTTCATTTTCTTGCACATCAAAGATCCCTGCTTACATCCATCATGCCTCTCTGCAGTCTTAATGCTACTTCCCTTTGAAACTTCATGATTAAAACAGTCTTATTTCTCCATTTGGACTGAGAAAGAATACCAAAGTGTGTTTTTTAATATATTCACCACTTCCCTTTCATTTGTCTCCTTTTTTTAAAGAAAACATTTCATCTAGATGAAAGTCATGTATAACTTAATCAAAATATTTCAAACACTGGCTCTGCTCATATAAATACATCTTTAAAAATAGAACAAAAAATTAGACAGCAACAACAAAAACAAAAAACAGAAACAAAAATGAAAAAAGGAAATACTTGGAGTTTTCCCTGAACTAAGATGAAGGAGGCAATAAAATATTTTTTTGATAGCCCTGCTTGTGATGCAAAGGACAGCTTAGCTGCAAAATGAAATAAAGCTTCTCCTGCAGAGGAGATAATAACTGATGATTACTACAAAGCACAGGAGGTTAAAATAGCTAGGATGCTAAAAACCACTCTTCTTTAAGATTCAGTGATGTTGAATTCAATCACCCTTCTGTATAAAAACAAAGTATCAAAAGCAAAAAACAAAAATTAGGATCCAAAGCACAACTTCCAAACTCTTATAAAGAAGCATAGGTGCACCTGAATATGTTCACATTGTATTCATACATGCAAAATCAGTTCAGGCAAACTTCTTACTAATTACTCAGAGTGCAGGCACAGATTATATCTGTCTGCACAAATATTACTATTTTCATAGAGTGATGCATTTTGCTTTATACACTATTCCCAAACATCTCATACTTAGTGTGTTAGACCTCAAACCAAGAAAAGACATATACAGAAAAAATGCATGAATTCCAAATATAGCATATTCTCTAAAATTCAGCTAAAGTGACCTATCATTTCACAAGCCAAATTTAGCTACTCTGTATCTTGATTTTGTCTACTTCTATTCAAGTAAATCTATTTTTTCCTGATTTTTTAAAGGGGCAAGCATACAGGAA